AGGGTTTTAAGATGTTCTATTTTGAGTGAAAATCCTGCGGTTGCTTTCAGAAAATTAAAAATGCATGGTCATTGGGTCTATCAGCAGGATATTGATCCAAATCGAATATGACCACATCAATGCAGAAATGGGTCACCAACACAAAATCAACCCTCTTATATTGTTGTCTCAGTTGCCAGACGTAAAAGCCTTAGAATATTTCGCTCTCTGTTTGTGCTCCAACCTTGTGAAATGTTTATAGGGGAAATTGACGTCCTGTGCTGTTGGCAAAGGAGGGTTATGCAAAATATTGGCAGCAACAGTTGTGTCACTAGTGTTTTTGTAAAAAAAAAACAGTTCTTCCCGAGTGTGCATTTTTCTGTTTTTTTTTTTTACCAGTTGACTAAACATTTTTAAAATAAAGTAACAATTTTCCTACATTTTTCAGTGTGTTTTGCTACACCAGTAAACATTAATTTATTTTAAAGCTTTTTCCACAACTTAACCAGGGGTACCGATTAACATGACCAGTCTGTAATTTGTTTCCCACCACTTATAACTATTCAGTCCGACATAATATAAATTTACCAGGTAGATTCAAATGACTTACAGGGTTGGCGGTGTGTTTGTGTTCCCCTCAGTCTTCTGTTTTGTTTTTATCAGTCTTTTTTTTTTTTTTGTACATAAGGCAGTTTTTCTGTTCCCTCTTCTACAGTCCAAGTTTGTGTCGTTCAGAACTGACTTGGCCTGCGCTCAACCATCGCCGGTCACATATGGATGCGTGAAGACAGCTATAATTTCTCATTCATGATTCGATCCTGTTTGTCTAGAGACGGGGCTTTAGGGGAGGAAGTCTTCTCACGCCGGTCGTCTGCTGGCTGTGCTGTTTTGGGTTATTTTGCCACAGCAGGTGTTTTATGTAACAGCTGAATGCCATCTTTTTTCTCTTAAATGATTTAATGATTTCTGCATGAGCACTGTATTTTTTTTTTATAAAGGTATCAAAGTGAGATTGCCTGTTTTAATTACTGGATCCTCTCGAGTCATGGATTAAGTTAGTGGTCACTTCCCTATATAAAAGCTTTCTGCATGAGAGGAGCTACAAACCACCCACAAACGCACACTTTTGCCCAAAAATTTCCACATTTTATTGGCCTTTTAGGATCTCTGTGATTATCTTTCCTTATAGGTTCAAGATGCCATAAGCTCTGCGCACATTTGTGATGTGTGAATGCATCTGCTTTATATGAGGGATTTTGTTGTTGTTTGTATTCTTTACTGGTTGTTTAGCTCTGTGTGTGTTTTCAATTGATTGAGGTAGTCACCACACATCCTGTAGCTCCCCCTCTCTCACACACTCAATCACACATGCATGCTGATGTCCTGGAATGACCCGCTCGCTGAGCCTGATGGCTGCATTCCTGTGTCTCTCTCTTTCTCTTCCTCTCTTTCGGATCCTAACCAAGTTTTGAAGTCAGATTTGGTTTAGATTTAGCGTCCTGATGCACATTTCCAAATCCTCAAAAGAGTTCATGAACTACCCATTAAAAGACTTCCATCATATCTGTCAGGTTTGCTGTGCAACGACGCCACGACTACTTGCATTTACAAGTTAACGCATTTTATATGTAAATTGGCTACAGTGGGCAGGCTTTTGCTCTCTAAGGGCATGCGAAACAAAACACTGCACAAACACAAAACTCCCAAGGCAGTGTCTGGGAGCTCTCTCCAATAAAATGCTCCCATTTTTGTTTTTCATGATATGTGTTTGTTTTGGCTACACACCCATTCGACTCTGCAAACCCAATCAGAGCGTCCCATTCTTTCAACAATTGAGTACAACAATGGCAGCCTCTCTGCTCTCATATTCTCATGGACCAGAGGGCAGGCAAAGCTAAGGGCAAACTTTAAATCTGATTACACACAGAAAGACCATCATGACATGCACAGGAAACTGGGCCTAAGCAAGCATGATAGTAGCTTTAGAGTTTATTCAAGCAGATAAGACACTGAGCAGATCTTTTGCAAGCTGCGAAAGTATAAAATATTTTCCCTTATCAGGATTGCTGTGGTGTGTTTTGGAACAGAGCTCATCAAAATCTTCTACAAAGCAAAATAATTGAACGTGATTCTAATCTATTCCTCCTTGGATGTTTTAATTTGTGTGTTTTCATTTAGGAATGATCTCACTGTTTTTGTAACATGGCAGAATAGTGCAGAGGCTGTACTGGTGTAACTTCGCCCATGCAGTTCATCACACCCCAAGCCTTGTTCTTTTTCTTCCTCTGAGACTGTTCCTCCTTGTGGTTAAACAGTTCCTGTGGTGTAGCTGCGGTTACACCTGTCTTTTAAAGCCCACCTGATACTTCTAATAACTCCAGGTTATATTAACCAACAAATGGCTTTCATTCACAGGTTGGATCTTGTGGATCTTGCAGATTTGTTACCTATTAAGCAAATGTTTGTTGCCGTATTTGGACGCTTGGAGTTTTAACAGCTTCCCACAGATGGGGCTTTGAACAATAGGCTTGTTCAGAGGTCTTGCGAGTTGCAAAGACCTCTGAAAAGATAATCCTCAGTCATTATCCCACTGACATTAAGCATTAAAATACACATTGGCAAACCTTCATCTGTCGGATCAAGATCATTTGTGCAGATTTTATGTGACTTGTATTTGGCCACAGTCTCCAAACTAGAGCATCTTTTATATTATGTCAGATGTCAGATTTAGGTGTTATGATTTAAGGACAAAAATGGCTCCAACCCTGCCTTTAGGAGCTTCAGTATGATGAGAGCAATTTAATAATTACTTCTGTCAGTTTAATCCCTTTTATCTCCACTGGGCATTATGCCACTGGGGCAGATGCTTGTTTAAATACTTATGTCCTTGCAAAGTCAGTCACAATGTCCCAATTATGTTTGTTTTACTAATAATATGTGTTAGTTTGCCTCAAAGCTGTTGCCATGTCATAATGGTGACAATAAATTGTAGTAGATGCTTTGCATGTATATTGGCATTTAGGTTAATGCTTTTATGATTTGCATTCAGATTTCTACTCACGATCAACATATTTGGATTCATGCCCTTCAGCAAGTTTTCAAGAAGTTTCTGATTCAACTCTGGCAAAGTGTTATGACCGCTGTTATTATTACTAATGGCGCAGTTTACTCAAATATTTAAATAGTTTTTCCCGGCAATGACTTGGCTTTTTCACATAAGCCACACATTTTCAATTGGTTCATGTCAGGATCATTTCAAAAGTTTAATATTGGCCAGCTTTGTAGCTCACAAAATCCGGTTTTGACGAGTGATAGAGACATTGTCCTGCTGGAACATCCAAATCTATCCAAGTTTAAATGATCTCGCTGTTCATTTGAGGCGAAGTTGAAGAATTTGCAGATAGTTCTCCTTTATTGTCACATCTATTTTATTCAGCTACTCAGCATGATGCTTTTTCAACAACAACAAGTGCACCTAATTCTTGCTTTTAAAAATGTTAAGTTTTGTGTTTTTGTTATTCTGTCCTTGACAATCATTATTTTAAAGACCTGTCCGCATGGCTAAGGCTGCATGTCTTGGACCATTACTTTTGTTTTGCTAGTAGACAATCATAAAGCCCATAAAAAAGAAAATATAGTCCTCATTGTCCTGCCTATTCTTTTTTGTGAAAATGTTTAGGCAAATCTTGCGACACGTTGAGGAAAAAATAAAAAATAAATAAGAAAAACACTGAATTAACCTTCCACAATATTTTTCAAATTGACAATCTGAAGGACATTTTCCCTATGAAGATAATTAAATACATTTGGGCTTTAAAGAGAGAACACAAGGTCCAGCTTTGTGCAAAGAGTTACAGTTTATTTGGTCTTAATAAGAGAGGCTAAACTAAAATGGTGGAGGGCTCCAGACTGACCTTTGCGTGTACAATTTGTCCATGGTACACACAGTGGACAAATGTGTCCATTGTGTGGAGACATTTGTGCTCAGTCAAACTGAACCAGTTTGACTGAGCGCATTAAATAAGCAGAACAATATGTGAAACTCATTGGACTGTTTGCTCTGTATTCTTGGCCCACTGCCTGGGTACAAATTACAGTTTTGTAGGTTAGTTTAAGGTGTTTTGCACAGATGAAAACAGACAGTCACAAGCTAAAAGCNGAATGTGAGGGGGGTTCTCCCTTTTTTGAGTCCCCTTAAACTTCCAATTTCATTAAAACCTTTTTTTTTTTTTTTTTTTAAATCAATATCAAGGAATTATTGCCTTATAACAAGCTTGTATAACTTGCTGAAAAGTTACTTGCAAGTTAGTTTTCTTATTTCAAGTGTATGGGGGTATTTTCACTAGAAACTTGACCAAAAATACTTGGTAAGATTGTGTGTTTTTGCAGTGTAAAATCATTGAAGCCTGTGTCTGTGACGTAAAATGTGAAAAGTTCGACAAGTTGAACTGCATAGCTAAAGTTGTTGCCTTGAGGTCTGAATTTTTTTTTTGTTTGTACAGTTTGTAGCGGCTTCTGCAGAGTTTTGTTTCAGTCTGTCCAATGCTCAGGTGACTCATTGTACCCCCATCAGACATCACAGCATGCACACATAGTTTGCCAGTTAAAATCATATTTTACCCCCAAACCACACGAACAGAAGGAGAAAAATTCCTGCATCAGCATCGTTCTTAATGATTTTTACAAGGCTGTGGGAGAAAGATTCGTTTCATGGCGCCACTCTGTATACACACACACACACACACACACACATGCATACATGTAATCAAATACTCAACATGATACATGTTGTACATGGGTGACAGCCTGACATTTGTGCAAAAGCAATTGACACTTCAACCAAGTGTTTTTCTCATTTCCTGTTCAGTAATAGTGCTAAAGGACCTTCTGTGAGAAATGCAAAACTGAGCGAGGGAGACACAATAAATTGGAGGCAGAAAACCTCTAAAGCTTTTCCTGCTCTTTGTGGCTGAGCCCAGCTTTTTTTTTTTTCCCTCCTGCCTTTTTCCTATTTCAAGATATTATTTGTTTTTTTGGAGTTCAAAGCTTAGCAACAAAATCCCACTTCTGCCAGCTGCCACTCACAGAATATGTTTTCATTAGGAACGGGCCCCTTTCATCAAAGACATTGGTTTGAGCGTGCTTGAAAAGGAAATGAACTGCCTCTGAGACTGTACGACTCTGGTCATATGGAAGCTCAGACAGAGTTCCATGTGTACATGAGTACAATTAGCAAAACGGGGAAAAAAAACAGCTGAGCCTTGGATGTTTTCCCCTCATATGTTTTTGTTAATGTGATTGTGGGCGTTCAGAGGTTTTACAATAGTTACAGTGTCATAAGCAGATTATTTTTGTTTACAAAAGCCTTGATGTAGCCAGAAATAATATAGACGCTGACATCAATGCAAGGGCATTTCATTCGCTTCTCGTTATGATCTGTGTGCAAAACGGAGCTGTCTTATCATGTAGGAGTTGGCAAAAACAAACTGGTTCGACACTTTTCAGCCCTCACCATTGGCTTTTTACGTCTAGTTCGTAGGAAATCAAAGACTTGGCAGTGTTTAATGACTTGACTCTCTATTTGACGCTTCATTTATTCATTTTAGGGAAACCTCCAGATTCATCAGGTGCACGTCGGCCAGGACGGACAGGTAAGAGTAAACACCAGTCACGAAAGACTAATTATTCCATCGTTTCTTCTGTGTTTTACTTTTGCTCTAAAGAAAACCTTGCATCCACCATTTATGTGGCCAATAAGTGTTAAACTTAAAACAGATCAAGATGATGAATATGCTAAAGAAGTTGCGTCACTCTGGAATAGTACCTTACACACTGGAAGAAATCTAAAGGCATATTTATTCAAGTTAGTTCAGTCCACAGAGAAACACTCATTCTAAACAATATTACTAGCAGCACACCGAACAATGCCTCCAAAATTTGCTGTTGATTTATTTTCCCAAACTTCTACTTAATGAATCCATGACTTTTCCTGAAGGTCATGTGACCCAGAGACCCATTTCTTTTAGGCACTGGTTGCTAGCCTGGGTATTGATCCAGTGTTATCTTTCCAACGTTAATAGTGAGATGCATGGTAAGAAAGATGGATAAAAAGATCACAGCTAAAGAACTGCACCAAAGAGGGCTATTTTTTGTCTCATCTATTCTCCATAAAAGGGTGGAATACCACAAAAAAAAGTTTTCTGTAGTTGGCCAAGCTCAGTTGAGACTTCAGCTCCAAGTCTGACCAACACTACCATTGGATTTAATGTGAAACAAAGGCTAAATATTCGAGCCCACTGTTAGGAGTGGTGGTAGGTATTTGATGCTGTGGGCCTTTAGTCCCACAGCTAGTATATTAAACCTAATGGAAGCTCATTTGAGTGCTTAGCCTCGTGAAGTATTGGCAATTAGAGGGTTTTAAGATGTTCTATTTTGAGTGAAAATCCTGCGGTTGCTTTCAGAAAATTAAAAATGCATGGTCATTGGGTCTATCAGCAGGATATTGATCCAAATCGAATATGACCACATCAATGCAGAAATGGGTCACCAACACAAAATCAACCCTCTTATATTGTTGTCTCAGTTGCCAGACGTAAAAGCCTTAGAATATTTCGCTCTCTGTTTGTGCTCCAACCTTGTGAAATGTTTATAGGGGAAATTGACGTCCTGTGCTGTTGGCAAAGGAGGGTTATGCAAAATATTGGCAGCAACAGTTGTGTCACTAGTGTTTTTGTAAAAAAAAAACAGTTCTTCCCGAGTGTGCATTTTTCTGTTTTTTTTTTTTACCAGTTGACTAAACATTTTTAAAATAAAGTAACAATTTTCCTACATTTTTCAGTGTGTTTTGCTACACCAGTAAACATTAATTTATTTTAAAGCTTTTTCCACAACTTAACCAGGGGTACCGATTAACATGACCAGTCTGTAATTTGTTTCCCACCACTTATAACTATTCAGTCCGACATAATATAAATTTACCAGGTAGATTCAAATGACTTACAGGGTTGGCGGTGTGTTTGTGTCCCCCCCTTTCTTTTTTTTTTTTTTTTAGGCTTTTTTTTTTTTTTTTTTTGTACATAAGGCAGTTTTTCTGTTCCCTCTTCTACAGTCCAAGTTTGTGTCGTTCAGAACTGACTTGGCCTGCGCTCAACCATCGCCGGTCACATATGGATGCGTGAAGACAGCTATAATTTCTCATTCATGATTCGATCCTGTTTGTCTAGAGACGGGGCTTTAGGGGAGGAAGTCTTCTCACGCCGGTCGTCTGCTGGCTGTGCTGTTTTGGGTTATTTTGCCACAGCAGGTGTTTTATGTAACAGCTGAATGCCATCTTTTTTCTCTTAAATGATTTAATGATTTCTGCATGAGCACTGTATTTTTTTTTTATAAAGGTATCAAAGTGAGATTGCCTGTTTTAATTACTGGATCCTCTCGAGTCATGGATTAAGTTAGTGGTCACTTCCCTATATAAAAGCTTTCTGCATGAGAGGAGCTACAAACCACCCACAAACGCACACTTTTGCCCAAAAATTTCCACATTTTATTGGCCTTTTAGGATCTCTGTGATTATCTTTCCTTATAGGTTCAAGATGCCATAAGCTCTGCGCACATTTGTGATGTGTGAATGCATCTGCTTTATATGAGGGATTTTGTTGTTGTTTGTATTCTTTACTGGTTGTTTAGCTCTGTGTGTGTTTTCAATTGATTGAGGTAGTCACCACACATCCTGTAGCTCCCCCTCTCTCACACACTCAATCACACATGCATGCTGATGTCCTGGAATGACCCGCTCGCTGAGCCTGATGGCTGCATTCCTGTGTCTCTCTCTTTCTCTTCCTCTCTTTCGGATCCTAACCAAGTTTTGAAGTCAGATTTGGTTTAGATTTAGCGTCCTGATGCACATTTCCAAATCCTCAAAAGAGTTCATGAACTACCCATTAAAAGACTTCCATCATATCTGTCAGGTTTGCTGTGCAACGACGCCACGACTACTTGCATTTACAAGTTAACGCATTTTATATGTAAATTGGCTACAGTGGGCAGGCTTTTGCTCTCTAAGGGCATGCGAAACAAAACACTGCACAAACACAAAACTCCCAAGGCAGTGTCTGGGAGCTCTCTCCAATAAAATGCTCCCATTTTTGTTTTTCATGATATGTGTTTGTTTTGGCTACACACCCATTCGACTCTGCAAACCCAATCAGAGCGTCCCATTCTTTCAACAATTGAGTACAACAATGGCAGCCTCTCTGCTCTCATATTCTCATGGACCAGAGGGCAGGCAAAGCTAAGGGCAAACTTTAAATCTGATTACACACAGAAAGACCATCATGACATGCACAGGAAACTGGGCCTAAGCAAGCATGATAGTAGCTTTAGAGTTTATTCAAGCAGATAAGACACTGAGCAGATCTTTTGCAAGCTGCGAAAGTATAAAATATTTTCCCTTATCAGGATTGCTGTGGTGTGTTTTGGAACAGAGCTCATCAAAATCTTCTACAAAGCAAAATAATTGAACGTGATTCTAATCTATTCCTCCTTGGATGTTTTAATTTGTGTGTTTTCATTTAGGAATGATCTCACTGTTTTTGTAACATGGCAGAATAGTGCAGAGGCTGTACTGGTGTAACTTCGCCCATGCAGTTCATCACACCCCAAGCCTTGTTCTTTTTCTTCCTCTGAGACTGTTCCTCCTTGTGGTTAAACAGTTCCTGTGGTGTAGCTGCGGTTACACCTGTCTTTTAAAGCCCACCTGATACTTCTAATAACTCCAGGTTATATTAACCAACAAATGGCTTTCATTCACAGGTTGGATCTTGTGGATCTTGCAGATTTGTTACCTATTAAGCAAATGTTTGTTGCCGTATTTGGACGCTTGGAGTTTTAACAGCTTCCCACAGATGGGGCTTTGAACAATAGGCTTGTTCAGAGGTCTTGCGAGTTGCAAAGACCTCTGAAAAGATAATCCTCAGTCATTATCCCACTGACATTAAGCATTAAAATACACATTGGCAAACCTTCATCTGTCGGATCAAGATCATTTGTGCAGATTTTATGTGACTTGTATTTGGCCACAGTCTCCAAACTAGAGCATCTTTTATATTATGTCAGATGTCAGATTTAGGTGTTATGATTTAAGGACAAAAATGGCTCCAACCCTGCCTTTAGGAGCTTCAGTATGATGAGAGCAATTTAATAATTACTTCTGTCAGTTTAATCCCTTTTATCTCCACTGGGCATTATGCCACTGGGGCAGATGCTTGTTTAAATACTTATGTCCTTGCAAAGTCAGTCACAATGTCCCAATTATGTTTGTTTTACTAATAATATGTGTTAGTTTGCCTCAAAGCTGTTGCCATGTCATAATGGTGACAATAAATTGTAGTAGATGCTTTGCATGTATATTGGCATTTAGGTTAATGCTTTTATGATTTGCATTCAGATTTCTACTCACGATCAACATATTTGGATTCATGCCCTTCAGCAAGTTTTCAAGAAGTTTCTGATTCAACTCTGGCAAAGTGTTATGACCGCTGTTATTATTACTAATGGCGCAGTTTACTCAAATATTTAAATAGTTTTTCCCGGCAATGACTTGGCTTTTTCACATAAGCCACACATTTTCAATTGGTTCATGTCAGGATCATTTCAAAAGTTTAATATTGGCCAGCTTTGTAGCTCACAAAATCCGGTTTTGACGAGTGATAGAGACATTGTCCTGCTGGAACATCCAAATCTATCCAAGTTTAAATGATCTCGCTGTTCATTTGAGGCGAAGTTGAAGAATTTGCAGATAGTTCTCCTTTATTGTCACATCTATTTTATTCAGCTACTCAGCATGATGCTTTTTCAACAACAACAAGTGCACCTAATTCTTGCTTTTAAAAATGTTAAGTTTTGTGTTTTTGTTATTCTGTCCTTGACAATCATTATTTTAAAGACCTGTCCGCATGGCTAAGGCTGCATGTCTTGGACCATTACTTTTGTTTTGCTAGTAGACAATCATAAAGCCCATAAAAAAGAAAATATAGTCCTCATTGTCCTGCCTATTCTTTTTTGTGAAAATGTTTAGGCAAATCTTGCGACACGTTGAGGAAAAAATAAAAAATAAATAAGAAAAACACTGAATTAACCTTCCACAATATTTTTCAAATTGACAATCTGAAGGACATTTTCCCTATGAAGATAATTAAATACATTTGGGCTTTAAAGAGAGAACACAAGGTCCAGCTTTGTGCAAAGAGTTACAGTTTATTTGGTCTTAATAAGAGAGGCTAAACTAAAATGGTGGAGGGCTCCAGACTGACCTTTGCGTGTACAATTTGTCCATGGTACACACAGTGGACAAATGTGTCCATTGTGTGGAGACATTTGTGCTCAGTCAAACTGAACCAGTTTGACTGAGCGCATTAAATAAGCAGAACAATATGTGAAACTCATTGGACTGTTTGCTCTGTATTCTTGGCCCACTGCCTGGGTACAAATTACAGTTTTGTAGGTTAGTTTAAGGTGTTTTGCACAGATGAAAACAGACAGTCACAAGCTAAAAGCAGAGCAACTCTGCCAGCTGAAGGTCAAAACAAAACTGGTCAACAGGGATCCAAGGGTGCGTTCACACTGCAGACTGAAGTGACTCAATTCCGATTTTTTG